AAGCTCACAGCCTGGGCAAAAGAGCCGCTAAAGAGATGAGATCTGCCAAATTTCTCATTACAGAAGCAGAACAGGAATAAAGCGCAGGGGGGAAGAGGAGGCCTGGCTGTGGCAGAAAGGAGGAGAAAAAATAAAAAAGTAAAAACATTATGAGCAGCTGCAGGGGACTTGCCGCTCTAACCCGCGGTGCCAGGCTGCTGTAGTGGAGGTAGAGCGGTGTCAGGATGAGGCACCAGGCTCATTTACTACAACAACAAGGGACAACTGGCACATTCTTCACCGCCAAAGCCCACATTTGATTTATTCTCACCAGGACGTCTTGTGTGATTTGCGAGCATTGTGATGGAGACACTCGTATGCTAATGAGCCGACATATTTTTGTGTGAATTATAAAAAGGGGGAAAAAGTAAAGTCAGCTTTTCTATCACTTTCACATCAAAGTAACTCCACAAGTGCTGTTGCCTCGGGTCTGACTCTGTGGCTGCAGGGCAGACATGAAATTGTTATTATTATGCTATTGAACTGCATGCTGATTCCACACTTTGCTTATAATTAGCCGTCTCTGGATACCTGATTCTCGTCTGGCTGTTTAAGAGAAGTGCTCTGGTTTCCGTGCAGTGTTAAAAAGCTGCGTCCTGTCAAACCGGCAGCAACACTGGCACATGTGGAAAACACATGTTGTTGCACAGTTAACAGTAGTGATGAACTTGTATTTGGAAGCAAAGCATCACAGTAAAAGAGGGATATTTATCACACGTTAGTTTATTGCTCATTCCCTTGCAGTGATGGTGCTGCTGTATATAACATTTAATGCTCAATCCGTAGGCATGAAACAGCGGGTATGTTTTGTTAATAAGAGAATAAAGTTCTTTAAAAGCAAAAGAAAACAGATTTAACTCATTTTGTGCTTGAATAAAGCTTATAGACATAATTATGGAGAAGGAGTTTGTGAGCTCCATCAGCCTAAAGATAGAAGCAGAGGGGCAGAGGGAGAAGCAGGCTGCCTTTAGGCCAGCACACCCATCCTGTCTCTGCCTTTCCTGTTCCACAGCCACGCTCAGAGCTATGTTCACAGTGATTAGGGATGGCACTTTCCTCCATTTGGCCAGGAGCTCATTACTGCACCTTTTTTTTTTGTTTTCAGGCAGAATTTCCCCCAAGCTCAGACATTTCAGGAGGCCATCCCTGAGTCTACCCGCGCTGCGCATCGGTGGTCTGCGCCCACATCTGGAAACGATGCAGCGTGTGCTGTATTATTTTAGGCTTCAAACAACTTAACAGACACTCCTATACAACAAGTGAACGGGGAGCTGCGGTTTCCAGGCCGACCGCAACTTTCCTACATGAGAATCTTGGATGATGTCCTCCAGACTAATTATGCTTTTGTGTTGTTTTTTCTTGCAGCGGCTCAGAGGCGTTTGTGAAGGTGTTGCGGCTCGTGTTTCACCACGTCGGAGCCAACAGCTCTGTCACTCTGCATTCTGGCATTTTGTAAATATTTGAACAAATTGGACGGCTGATTATGGCGCGACTCAGACAGACAGCAGGACATATAAAGGAGAGTTCATAAACTCGCTGTTAAAATAACAGAGGGTCTCCGGCCTTTTCTTTCTTTGAAAAGGTGGAGTTTCCTTTTCTGCAGGGAGGCCAGCCACAGCTCTGGCCATGACCCCACACACCACTCCAATATCATCCCTCTTCACTTTATTTATTGTCCTCTCCGGTATTGTTTCTCTTTCATCTAATGCCATGCATTAGGTAATTTTAGAGCATTTTGGGTGGGCATTAAAGTTATTTTCTATCCAACTCTATTTAGAGCGTTGCTGTCTCTGTGGAGCAGACAGCTCAAACTCTTTTCCCCTCTTCTCTTTTCTCACACATTGTGGTGGAGATAGAAAGCGTGTGCGTGCCACTCACATAGCTGGCAGGGGCGAGCGTCCCGGGCTGCTGTCACTGCCGTTGCTGTTTCCATGGTCCATCGCTCCATTCATCTCCTCACGGATGGCGTTGGCCAGGGAGTTGAGGGTGGGACTTCCAATGGAAGCAGTAGTGTATAGAGGTATGTTGTTTTCTGCCATTGAAGCCTGAAAAGCAAAGCCCGAAGCATTAAATGTGAAACGGAAGAGAGTTGTCAGCACTTTCTCACTTGCCCATCACTCTTTTCATACCAGTACAACCCCTTCAAAACAAAGACTAGAGGAGAGATTTTATATTATTTTGTGTTTTTCAGAAGTTCTGAGCAAGGCAGCTAAAGATGAAGTCACTTTTTCTTTTTTACCTGGAAGGCAGCAGAGCAGAGGGTCGGACCATAGCCCAAGCTGGTCTGAATGTTCTTCACTAAGGCTGGACTTCTGCAAACAGAGAAAATTAAATTACAAACCACAGACTCATGTCTCACCTAGCATGCATTCCTAAGCTGCAGTATCTTATTTCATAAAAAGAAATCAATGCACTTTGTATAAGAACTAAACACATTTACTGGTGTAGTAATGTGGATATTAAGGCTATAGTTCTAAGATGTTCAATCACTTCACAATACCACACAACTACCTTCAACACTTTGCATTTCATGGGAAGAAAGAACAAGTTGATGGAAGCAATCTTGTGAAAGCATGATGGATGGCGAGCTAAACACAAAAAGCATGATGACAACACTGAANNGGGGGGGGGGGGCATGCAGGTAGGGCTGGGCCTCTGGAGTTAGCAGCGCAGGCGGAAGTGCTTACTGTACGAGCAGCTCATCAAAGTTCTCATCAGTGGCGCATTTCCGAGGGCGGCCTCGCTGTATGTGGCGGCCGCGCTTAAACTCCTCATCATCAACGGTCCAAAAGGACCCAAACTCATCCTCTACTCTCACAAAGCACTTATGCAAGGAAAGGTTGGTGCGAATGGCACCCTGGGGAAGCAAACCAGCGGGGAGGGAGCAGGGGCAGCCAGATGCAGATGCAGTGATCAACAGGACAGACAGAGGATGGACAGACAGACACAGGGAGGAGGGCAGAGGGTGAGGATCCAAATGAAAATAAGCCATTGTGGGTTATAAGGCATCACCAAAAAGCTACTGAAAGCATGGAGGGAGGGCACCCCAAAGCAAGAAGGGACTTTGGACGTTATGGCACACAGACAATGAGATGAAGCAGCAGCAGCCTCTTCCCATCAGTGAGACAGACGCTAGTCAGGGCTCAAAAGGCCAAACCTACCCACTGATCTTTTGAGGCCGTCTCTTTTGGAACTCTATTTCGTCGACTGTCCAGACAGCCCCTTTTACGTTTTCTACCCGCACAAAACACTTGTGAAGACTAAGATTATGCCGGACTGCATTCTGCAGTTGGTGTGAAAACAAAGAGAGAAAAGGAAAGGTTGCTATCAGTACAGTAAACATTGTCTGCATGGGGAAAAAAATCATTTCAAAGAAGAAATATTATGACAGGCACTGGATGAAACCTGAATGAAAACAATAAATAAGCCAGAATGTTATTGGCAGTAAATGGTCCCAAAGTTTCAAATGACTTAAACAACAAGTAAATATTTCTTGGTTTCCATGGCAATAGAGTCAGTGACATGCTTTTTATCTTATCACTCACAACACTGTCTTTTCTGATCAGTCAGTACAAATATAATGAGTGAAATGCAGAAAACTAACATTTCACTCATGAGTTCTGAGTTATTTAGATGCATCACAATGTGAGGAAAAAGAGCTATTAAAACTTAAATCCAGGGACCAATCCAAACCATTTAGGCATGAAAGTAGACCTGCATATATCATCCCTTTGTTATTCCAGGAGCTACGCTGAGTGCATGTGTGTATATTAAGTATGTGTGTGTATAGAGAGAGAGAGAGTTGTGGAATCCAGTGTTTAGAACACCAATGTGCCCCTATGGAAGGGTTGTCAGTGAGTGTGGGAGCTGATGGAGGACGGGGGTGGAGCAGGGTGGTGGTAGTGTGAGTGTGAGTGTGAGTGTGTATGTTGGGTCTCATCCAGCTGCGTGTCACAGACCAGCTAAGGCTGAGGCTCATTCAAATCTCACTTTCTGACTCCAGTCATTTCTTGTTTTAGATTGTTGTTTTGTTTTTGTTGTGTGTGTGTGTCTGTGTGTGTGTGTGTATGTGGCCTGGTGGAAAACAGAGTGTTCCCTTCTGAAGTCAATGTGAGAGGCTCAGCCAGGAGTCACTGGCAGAGCACTGCTATGTTAGAGTAATGCCACCCACCACCAGAACATCCCCACATATTACTAGGAGATTGTTTTTTTTCATTTTCTTCTCTCTCTGTCTTCTTTTTTCTTTTTCACAAGAATGCACATATTCCTCTCTTTGGTTTTTCTATGTGGTTCACATGTTTGCTTAAAGGGCGGTTCATTTGGACTGAATAAGTGGAGTATTGTTATATGTTTGGGTAGAGGTTCATTTATAAAGGTATTACGCCTGGCTATCATTTCATTCTCCCCAACATCAACACAACATCTCCTTCTGGTTCAAAGAAGTCAGGAAGAACAGTAAAATTACCTTCCACGTCGCTGCGTTGCGCCTAAAATATGCAAACATTCGTGTGAACCAGTTGTAGATTTCGTTTAGTGTTAGCTGCTTTTCTGGAGATTCGAGGATTGCCTGGATGAGGAACAGTGACAGAAACAAACATTTACAATTTTGCTCCCTTCACAGAGTGATCAATAATTCACAAGAGGCATGCAGGTTTGTGTGTGTTCTCTTGAGAAAAACACAGAGAAGAGCAAAGAAACTGTCTCTGTGAAGTGTACTCCCTACTCTGTTTATAGAAGTCTTCTGCACTTTTCATTCAAAACGGCAGATTTGAATATATTTTCCTTTGTGGGTGTAAATGAAGGGCAAGCGAAAACATTTCTCAGGCAGATTACAGGGCAGCAATTATGGCCGGCTCAGATTAATTCCTGAGATCCCAGATTACTGTGGCCGAGCAATAATTGACTGGCCATCTTAAAACAGGTTCATCCCTACTGTTGTGTGAAATGAATTTGGTAATAATCACAGCCACTGGAATGCTTAATCAAATGCAATTGTCATATGTGGCTGTTTTTTTGAATCCTGTACGCATTCTTGCACTCATTTGAAGATGGTTAATCTGCTCCTCTGTCTAAATTTTATTTGAAATTTAACAAGGAAGGAAGAGAGAAATAAGCAGAATAACTGTAGTTTGTGACCTTCTAAATAGCTGACTGTATATCTGCTGTATTCCTCACTATGACTAGGCAGGGTGAAGGCTATTAAAGGCCCTGTTTTCCTAAATGTAGACAGATTAAAAAGCAGTATCCTTACCTGTCTTATTAATGAGGCATACGTGAACGGCGGTCTAACATCTGCATTCATGTAAAACTCTTTGTTTTGACTGAGATCTGCACACAGGGAACAAACACAAACTGTGTCAATATGGAATAAAATGATCAGGTGTCAACACAAATGTCCCATCAGAGGCTGAAAACACAAAGTACAGCATGATTACATGGTTGTGTATACAGTCAGTCATTGTGCAGTTCCATGTATTTAATTGTGAGTGTGTGTGTGCAGTCTGCAGTACCTGGAGAGATGGGCATGTTGTACTTTTCTGAGTAGCGCCGTCGCATGGGGCCCACGCTGTGGAGGCTGTTGGCTGTGATGACGGAGTGGGTCTGGGACAGGGGTGTGAGGGGTGCCGTTGGTGTGGTGGGGGTCTGGGGCAGGCTCAGAGGAGGAGAGGCCTCAGGGGCCGATTTGGACAATGTGACGTTGGAAACCAGGTTGAGCTGAGGAGACAGACAGACACACACACAGACAGGAGCACAGTTAGTCCCCTAATTACCCATGTGTCTCAGACGCCTCATTGGCTATGCATATCTCCGCTCTAATTGCAGACGGGCCCTGAGATGATCCATGAACGTTTGCTAAATGTTTGGAAAACAACCCTGGAGGCCCCGCTCCTCCACCTCCTCTATTCTTCACGCTCTGCTCTCTCCTCCCTCCCTCTCTATCGGTGCCGTGTTCCCAGCTTTCTGTCTCATCGCCTTTTGTTAAATCTTTTGTCCCCCCTTGTCCTGTTTGGACAACACACCCCCACCTCATCCACCCACTGTGGGTCTGCAGCATTGTAACTGGTGAGGGTCGAGTGGAGTGAGGGAAGATGGGCGGCCCGAACAGCTCTGAAAAATGACAGTGTGATTCTCACCTACCGCTGAGCAGCCCCGCTAATAAGGCAGCCAGAGGAAGAAGCCAATCTGGGCTAATTACAAGCTGAAATTGTATTGTGAGGACTCTAATTAGGAGCTGCTTATGGAGGTGATCTGATGATTAACTACTGTATCTGACTGACCTCCATCATCAGGGCCACGATGGCCGTGGTAAAGATGGCCTCACAGTGTTTTCATGGACAGCCTTATGTAGAAAATATTTGGTTTTACTGCTGAGCACTGTGTGTGGATGGGCTGGGTGGGCTGAGGAGAAGGAGGGATTTAAGTAATAATGGCTACAAGGTAAACTAATTATGGCAAGTGCTCCTAAGGTATAGCATGGCTTCCAGCAGCTGTGGCGGCTGTGAGCCAAGTGCCAAGCCTCCATACTGGAGCAGCAGTCAAGTGGAAAATTCTAGCCTGACCCCCTGCTCCAGCTATTAATTGGCAGGAAAACTAATGACACAGATACATATTCCAACAAAATTGTTCTAATTGCTAATTTGCCGAAGGAGGCCAGTTTCCAAATTAAACATGACTTCAGACTGTGAGAAAAAGAGAGAAGAGAAAATACAGAGAGAGAAATGGGGAGCTAGGAAAAAAAGGGAGATGTGTTGAAGGGACACATCTCATCTGTGACATCATTTGTTGATTACCAGGAGATCAGACGTGATGATTGACAACAGACAGTTGACTGTACAAAGCAACGCAGATCCTGTTCAGCCACCAATTATTACCAGCATGTATAATATAGAGCTTAGAAATCCAAGGTTGCCACCCCCAGAATTCAGTGTTGACATGACACTGTCACAACAATATTTTTTGGTTTATTTAGAATTAATTTACAATTACAAATACTTTTTTTTTTATTTTACAAAGAAATAGACCCTATTAAATTATTACGTTGCAAACTACTCTCACCAAAATTAGAGACGGACATGTGTCCAAGTCCTCACAATGTCTATTTATGTTTTGGAGGCTGAACTCTGGCTTTCTGGCAGATTCTGCCCAAATAATTTGGATTACTGCTGGGATGCACAAATGTAGACTACATCCTCACCAACAGTAGCAGAAGATGTGTTATTCTAAATCACGAGCAAAATAAATCACACTAGGGTTCGCGTGTTTCTGACACAATGCTATCAATAGAATGGGGCTGCGGTGTTGACTTCTCTTCCTGTGGATTAGCAGGCTTTGTTTCATGTTTCATCCATATTCCCTGGCAATAAACACAGAGAGGCTTCAACAATAGGCCAGACAGGCTGGTAATAGCCTTGCCTTTGTTTGCCTCACCATTTGGGCTCACTCCAGTGCCTAGACAAAATGAGACTTCAGACTGAAATTAATTAAATGGTAATTGGTGATCTAATTATACTGGCTTTGACTCGGCAAGCTGCTAAAGAAAATAAACAAAAAGTCCCTCCTTAATTATGTATGGCGTAAAAGGTCAGATTTCTGACAAGAATGCTTAGTGACACCGAGTGCAGACACCCACCCACACACTCAGAGGCAAATACAAACACGCACATACACGGAATACACACACAGAGAACAGGCATTGCTAATGTGGCACATTTTGTTTTGATCTTCCCCCCAGCCCCCCCACCCCACATCCACCTCAGAAGAATAAAATGAGTCCTATTCATTTGACGTGGTACATGCACAGTATCAGTTTGTTTGTCTTTAATTATAACTAAATGTAAACCGGCAAATTCATCTGTGCTACTCTGCTGTGACAGTTGGCTACTTACACATGCCTTTATTATATGCAACAGCACAGAACAGCAGAAAGGCATAACTAGCAATTACTGGAAGAACACAATTGTTTTTTCAGAGTAGTTCCAGTCAGCTCTGAGAATACTTTCATTCTGCATCTACTAAAAAGAAGATTTTATTCTTTTTTTTGGTGGCCACTGCAATCTCACTAAAGCCTCAATGGGGCCACGGGCCCTGACCTGTGCAGGTCCACCACTCACCCAGCCGAAGCCAGACATATTTATCATAGCATTTCATAGCGGCTCACAGCAGGCAAAGTAGCGCTGGAGAATGGGAGTCTATTTATTTGAATAAAAATCCCAGCTTGCCCCCTTGAGAGTGTTAACGCTGAGCTTTGACACAGCCATTCTCACAGGCCCCGGGGAGAGAGGAGAGGTAGTGAACTCAAGATGCTATCTGCCACCCTTACCACTTTTCATATACAAATGTCCCTGTGTCAGAGCCCTCGTTTTGCACTCTAATCTACACAATCAGTGTGTGTGACACAGGCGCAGCTTTTACAGACAGCCCATTGTCGTCCGACATCTCCGGGCGCTTTATGTTGACGGGTTGCGCTGCGTTCAGCTCACATGCAGCCTCTGCACGTCAATGGCCACCTCACTGACTGTAAATAAATGATCCAAGCTGCACTGAGACAAGACTCGTGCATGTATATTGTGCGTCTGTGTGCGTGATTTCAGATTCACGCCCTGCAGTGAAATGATCTTTGCACATTTGGCTCCCCGAATGAACTGTCATACAGGCTGAAATATGGTGGTGAGGCCCCTTCTTAAACATGACAAAATAGCTCAGACACTTAAATGCCATATGTTAAGCCCTTGCCCCTATAGGATAGGGATTAAGCAGTAGGCTTTATGGCGTGGCATATATTAAGAGTGATAAGCATGATGTCTGGAATGTGTCAAGAAGATAATAAATTGATCTGCTGTTACATTTATTCACATCAGTTGTTCACCTGCAACATATTTTGGTGAATCACCACTGAGACATTTCCTTTTCTTTTCTCATCCTGCATCATTTGCATTTTTACAAAATGACCTTTGTTCACTCTTCATTCTGTTGTTGACTATGATACCAAACTCTATTTAAACAACATTTAAGTCAAAGATTAGCTTCTGTTTAGATCTTATTTCACCAATTACTTTTAAAGATGGCTGAGGGTAATCCCTACAAATTTTCAACCCTAAACAAAGATACAGATGTCCTAAGGAAAGCATCTGTTATCATAGAAAATCAATATTAAAATCAAAATCAGCAAGTGCTGCTACCACCTATATTTTGGAATGGCATCAGCTAGCATATCTGTACATATCAATCCATAATATTTCAATTTCAGCCAACTATATTATAATCATTATTAGTATTATTATTATTATTCTATATGCATTAGAATAAATATTTCTTATATTTTATGTTATGTGGCAGAAAAGTACTTTGTAACTTCTCTTTTAAAAGCACTAAAAATAAATGTCTGTCTATAAAATATAATGTTTGTTATTATTATTGCTGTATTTCTATCTCTGCTTTTTTCTGTCTGCCCAAACAGGCACTGGTTCTCTGGAGCTGAGGCTGTTACAGAGTGTGCATCCAGTTCATCACAGACACCAAATTGAATCTCGGATGTCAGCAGATGTGGTCCAAACAATATTTACTGCCTCCCTCCAGAGAACAGCTGTTTTTATTTAGCAGATAAATAAGGAGATGGAGGAAGGGATTAATGAATACATGTGTGCCAATTAAGACAAACAAAAGGATGGGGGGAGGGACAAGAGAAAGACGTATGACAGGGTTGCTGCTCACCGGCTGTGGGGTGGCTTTGGGCTCCGTGGACTTGACATGAAGGTGCGTCATCATAGCTTGCAGACGTTCTTTGTCTTTCGCTAGCTGTAATGAGGGAAGAGAACACATTACATTTTTTATATACAAAAAGAAAAAATCTCTACTTTAATTAATTCCATACATTCCTTTGCAGCGAAGGCATCCTTTACGATGAGCTTGTTGGAACAAATCCATCTTTTTGCTCTCGAGACCATCTAATTATTTATTCTCAAAATGCTTTTGGAAGCTGTCAACAACTCTGCACTTCAGACAATCTAACTACTGTCTCCAATTCAAGGTTAAAAGATACTGCGTCTCATTGCCAATAACAAGCCTGGGCCCTTTCTACCTGTCTGAAACTCAGCGCTGTCTTAGCTGCCAGCTTAAATCACGGTGATAGGCTGCATGCAGAGGAAGTCTGTGTCTGATAAACCTTCACGCCATCCCTCTGGATAATACACAAGCAGAGCGGAAATAACAGGACGTTGGTATGGTGTAATGTTTGAGCAACTGAACTCTCATTGTTTAAGTTTAACATCCTGTAAACCACAACTGTTTTATACTCATTAGCAGTCATTTTAGGGTATTATGTGGCTAATATGTGAACCACAAGAGAATGCGGCACAGAATCTGGAATACATTACAAGGTAATTCATAAAAATACAGTTTAATGGAACTCTTGGTTTTATAATAATAAATACGTGCAACCTTACATTAGCAATGTGGTCACCATTTAACCCACCACTCTTACACATACTCACATACGTCACACAAGCCATTATAATGCCCCCATGATGGGATGACTGTGAACCATGACTTTTCCCATAAGTGCATTCTTAATGTACACATGCAGATTTTTCTTTTATCACAGAATAAGGCAAAGAAAGATCACACATAGCCGTATTAAAACCACCGACTGTCAAAAGTTTTCCGGGTAGTGTTTTCTTTAAAGTCACTCAGCACTGAGCGCCCATCTGCACCACGCTGCCGAGTCATTTCACCAAGTGTTTTATTGTTGGTGCCAAACAGTTAAAAGTCATAAATAACTTTAAAACCCAGTAAAATTCAAAATGTAATTATCTTCTCTACTTAGCCCCGGGCCCTTCATATATCTTTTCCTGGCTGTCATGCATACATAACACATTTTTAATGACTGATTACTTGCAAATCTACAAAATTATTTCATTCTTCTGCCCCACCCCCCCCTTCCATGAGTGACCCCCTGGCTGATATCAGACGGACAGGGAGGGGTTCAGCAGACACTGAGGAAGTGTCAGGAGAAGAAGACACATAAATATTTGGGCCAAAACAAACTATGAGACAATACCTGCAGCTCCAGCTGTTGTACGACCTGCATTTGCACCCGACACTGGGCCGTGCTCCTGTCATCCAGGGCGTGCTCATTGTTAAGATGCCTGGAAAACAAAAAACAGAGAACACACAAAAAAAGCTGGTGTTAGTTTGACTTCTGCAGCCTCTTACATATAAGAAACAAAAGTCTTGTAATGTCTGGTTTAATGATGGTAATTGGGTAAAGCACAATGTATAGAGAATATGTGGTAAATAACCATGCAGAGCTTCACATACTGCACAGATTACACACACATAAAATCTGCAGAACCAGAAGAAACACTTCTTTTAACATACAAGAATGACACTCAATATTTCATGGCAGTCATGTCTGCTCCAACTACAGCTCACAGATAAGAGGAATGATTGAAGAATTTCAGGTTGGACTCCTTTGCTAAATTATGCACCGGTGCCCTGATGCCATTTCTTCTCACTCCAGCTACCTTTTGCCTTGTTGAATTTGCCCTTTTTTTGTGTGTTTTTTCTGCTAATTGTGTCATTAAAATTAAGAGAATTCAAATAAAGCCAGACCAAATGGCGAGGACAACAGGGCGAGGAGATGGGATCTGTCACAAACTTGACACAACTATGGATATAATTATGCATGATTATTTTATACAGGGAAGATGTTCTCTTTTCCTGTACGTTTATAACTAATCTAAATAAGTAGCTCGCTGGGTAGCAGACGAGGGTTTTTTTCTGTGATTTATATAAAATGGTGGAGATAAGGTTCACGAGTGAAGGAAATATGATTGGAGGAATTTTATCAGCCGCCGCATGAATTACTGTTTGAAAATGCTTATGCAGGGGCATTTCATTAATCATTTAATCATAATCCGAGCAGGATGTTTGAACTGATTTCACAAATACCCTTTCATTTCACTACTTCATTATGCTCGCTAATGGATCCAATATATTATATATATCATAAATTATATCACATCTTCGGTGACCATGTAGGTCACTGTCACCAGGCATGTCTGTGTGCACACAGTGGCGCCGGCAGATGGGAGAGAGGTGTGTGTGTGTGTGTAACACGGCTGCCTTTTCAAATGCACTTTTTCTGTCATTTACTGCAAATCAAAAATAGCCAGAGTCGACCTGTGAAGGCACAGACAGTGGCAGCGCTGGCGTTATGATAGCCCAATAAATTTGACGCCGTTGCTTTATGTACAGACAACACATTTGTGCATTAAACAGCACAGACGCTCAGAAAACAGACACATATGAAGGGAAGGGAAATTGATAGTGCTCTGCTTGAAATGTGAAGGTTTCTGTTCAGCTGTGGTATTTTCAACCTTGAGGTGAATGATTTAAATCTTTATGGGAAACGTGGTCTCTCTTCTCTCCCCCCCTTCAAGTCCTCCTATTGTGTTTTGATAATACATTTTTCAAAATGACTGTGATATACATTCAGCGCTTGAAGTTAATTATTGTGGCGAAAAATAAATTAAAAAGGCATATTTAAAGAAAGCGTGGGCAATAACCCCCTCTTGCTGAAATCAATTCAGACCTTCTTCTGGGCTTTCCATTTGTTTGAGTTAAATAAATGCCCATTTAATTAAGTAGGTCGGAAAATGAAACTGGTAAACATTTCAGGACATCTTACTAAATTTCAAAGAAGAAAATAATAGGTAAAGACGTTTCAGCTTCAATTTAACTGGCACAGACTGAATTTTCAATGAAGGGTGGCCTACGTGAGCAGCTTTGGAATTTCTCTGTTCATAGGAGACATGTGCCCTGCTTCTTTTCATCCTTTGTTACATTCCACTTTATTTCTTCTAATGACATGGAGAGTCACAGTGCATAATTAATAGGAAATGAAATATTCAAATGGCCCTAATGCAGCCTTGAGAGGAGTGTCTGGACACGGGAGCATGGGATACGGGGGAATTGACATCGAGAGAGACTATGAACGTTGGCATGTGTCACTTTCTGGACTTCAAATGAAGCCACTTTTAAAAGCTCTCTGGCAGGATGACAGCCCCTAATGTAAATTGCCACAATAAAACAAGTTAAATAGACATTCCTGTAACAGTCGGCTTTTTACATATCAGTTAGTTCGCCTTTTTTTCTCCTTTACAATTTCTAATTATATAGACTGGACCCAGAGCTTAAGGCTGTCTCTGAGGAAGGTTTATCATCTTCACTGTTTGGTGGAATTTAAATTAAACCACACATCTTTACAATAGTATTTACATTTAAATGCATTAAAGATTTTGGTGCATATTTCTAATTATTTCCACAGTATTAAGTATTAAAACATAGTACAGAGCATTAAAATCATTCGTTTTATGTAAGGATTACAGTTTTTAAACTTGATTTTACATTATTTTACATTTGGCTTATTTGTGGTTTTTCATGAGGTCTGAATAGTGTGCAGTGGTGCAAAACATTTGCTCCGTGGTGTTGAGGTGTGAGAGAGGAGTGTTTCAGCAGGCAGGCAGTGCAGCACTAGAGGGCACTGCAGTGTTTCCCTGGCTCTGACCTCTGACTGGACACTGAAGAGAAAGGGTCTTGACCCCCGTAAAAACAGCAGGCTCCTCTACGAACCCAACCCCACCCTTCTGTGTGCTGAACCAGAAAACAGGAACAGGGATTTTGGTGCTTTGTATTTATCGAGATAGTGCTTGTAGGTATGTAATGTTTTCTTTAAAAGATAGAATAAATACACACACAGTTTAAAACAACATTTCAGTCCCGTGTTAGTTGTTACTGTTGGCATGTGGAGCTGAAATCTGGTTGACGTTAGAGTCCTCCTCACCTTTCTCTCTCTGGTACACAGTACACTGTGTTCTGCTGACTACACACACACACACACACACCTCTTTTCACTTATATTTTCAACATTTCTCCCAACCTTAGGAGACTTTTGCAAGAGCATTAAAACGTCTGCATGTATTCTTTATTTTTATTTTTGATTGTTTTCGGAGGCCTGCAGTATCAGTTGCTGGGATTCATGTGGAAGTGCTTAAGGGTTTGAGAGTTAACACCTTGGTGAGCTGCTCGCACTCTTGCCTGCTGTTAAACAAAGGCAGCTTTGTGGAGACTCTCCCCAAATGTTTTCTTAACATGTTCCAAGCAGTTTGAGCAGGCAACTAAAGTAAACAAGATGTTGCCATGATAAAAACACTTGTAAAAACACAGCAGAGTGCACTTAGAGACTTTTGAAGGCAGAGCTCTACCGGGCACACTGAATTTAATTCCCCTCTCTTCTATAAACAAAGGGTGAGGCAATGTCAGAATACAATAAATAGTGATGGATTTAAGGGGGCACTCCCAAAGCTGAAATATGTGTGTCTATGTGGGAAAGTGTGTGTGTGCACTACGTGGTTTAATAACTACGTGTCACAGGATGTTTATTAAATGAAAATAAAAACATATAACTGCAATTTTTTCTTTTCCCTCTTGCACAGAGAACTGTACTGCACTCCCACACAATCTGGTGTGAAATGCTTTACTAAAGCAAACTGCGCTCCAAGTGGATTCAAGCAAACACCAGAAAAACGGGAATGTTGACAAAGACAGTCAAAACTTTCAGCTGCCTTGTGAGGCGTCCCTCTGCAGCACCTTTCTCTCCTGCGCCTGTGAGGAAGCTGTGTGCTCGCTGAGTGCTTGTTTTAGGATAATGGAATTGTGTCATATCTTGTTTAAAGTGCGACTAATCCGGGGTGACAGTGAGCCATTGATCTGCTGCCACAATGCAGATGTTTTCATCCTCTCCGTAACCATGGCGCTGTAATGTGTTGGATTACCTAGAGCGCACTACACACAGGGCTGATTAGTAAACCAGGGGCCTGACTCAGATGGAGAAACACGGTGCAGAACAAAGGCCCATGTCAGACCGGACAGGGTCAAACCTGTTAGACACTTCTCACACTGGAAAGATGCTACACAGCAGGTGATGCTGTCTTAGCTGGACCTCTTTAAGTATAGTATACATGGTTTCATTTTAACATAGTGCATAGGTTTGGGCCTTCAGTAAACCAGAAAACAAGTCAAGGAAGTAAAGCATGAAAGAGGAGAAGGAAATAAACCACTAAGAAAAAGCAGAGGCAGTCAAAGACACACACACCAATCCTCCTGTCCAGTGACAAGGGCAAACATGCAGAGCGCCCTAAGTGCGGGCTGCCACAGATAAACATCCTACCGTTGTTTGTTTGGGAAAAACGGCCCCGTCACCATGGGAACTGCACTTATCACAGGAATTAGAAGGCCCATGCCGTTCTCAGAAGGAGACCCCGCCACAGTACCCTTGTCAAGAGAGTGCCAACCCAGGCACCCGCACTCAGGAATAACAACCAGCTGCACCTGTAGTGCCTCTGAGTCGCCAGGGGTCACAAAACGTGTAATCGACCCGACACGAGGACAAACAAACTGTGATAGAAACGCACCTCCGACTATGACTTACTTGAGGAATGACTGGAAATCATCAAATACTGCCTCACATCCAGGCCACTTGCAAACACCGTGACCATAGAGAGGGTGACTGTGGTGGGAAGGCTCTTCTAGCGTGGATCTAAAAGAGAAATTCACAGAAAGAAAGGTGGTTATTAATAAAAACAAGTTTTCTGGAACACAAACACAGTTAGAGTCCTGTGGTCACATAGCATGTCACAGAAGATGGTTTCTCCTTTTAAGCTGGTTAGCACTTCCCTGTGTGTACTATATGTTGTTTCCACATGAAAACTTCAAGTCTGTGTGGAATCAGTGTACCTGTGTGATCCCTGCTTGCTCTTCTTTTAAAAAAGGGGACTCGTGTTGCGAAAGCACAACCAAATCAATATGTAATTATTTAGTATCACTGAGCCATGCTGCAATTCACTTTGATCAAGACTGCTAGGGGGCTCCCTCAATCGCTGCTTTTCCTGCGCTGCCTGCTGCATCATGTCCCAGGGCCCACCTGGAGGAGCGCGTACCACAACATGAAACCCCCAAAAGCATCAGGCGCTTTCACGCCGTGCACAAACTGTAAACATCCCCGCCTGGTATCAATTTATATACTGACCAATCCCTGTCACTGGGGGCTGACAAGCGCCTTGCATCTATGGGGGAGCGTATGGCTCCGTACAATCAGTCTAAATAGCAGGAACATCCCTGAAAAACAAACTTTACAACATCTTCCATATGGCGAGAGGCATGGAACCACAGCTAACCACAATCAGTGCTGAGAGAGAGCGGCCTGTGTCTGCTAAGAGAGCGAGACAGGCGGCCATATGGACACAGGCACTATACAAGACACACAACTTTCGGCAACAAGAGCCTGGGGGACTGGCCTATATCGCTGCCACCTGTGCTTCTGGTGGCTCGTGAGCACAACGCTGCTGCCGCTTCTCCTCGAGTCTGAGCACTGCTCTCTAAGACAACAGGCCAGATAGGGAGATTCATTACACCACAAACTGTTGTGTTGCCATGTGGGACTACTTCCAACCACTAAAATCTCATTCATATACATATATTAAATAAGAAATAATGTCTTATGCTACCACTTCAGGGGATGTCTTTAAGGATAGCGAGGAAAAATAAATACTGAAAATAACATCTTGTATTGCTGAGCCAATCGTCCATCTGCTGTGATTTTAAAAATTGATGCAAAAATGAATTAGTAAAAAAAGTAAAGAAATCTAACCATGGTGTGGCAATTTTGCCGGATTAAACAAGCTGATGTTCAGATTAAAATCTCATTTGTATCAATGTTGGTAAAGCTGTACCTCAAGTAGGAAATTTTAAAGGTCGTCACAGGTTTCCTTGTGTTATAATTACTTGCTTAAGAGTTCACATTGTTCATAACATGTGATAATTGCATTGCAATTAGGAAGCAGTCAAGCATTCATGAATGTGGTTAGCAGCTTTTTTTCCCTCCCTCTTTCAAAAGTCAGAATTTTTTTTTATTCAATTATGAATTATGCATTCACATTAAGACCTCTGTTTTGATACAGCTAATAAATAGACGGCGGAAGACCTATTATAATGAGTTTTTAACAAGGAAATGTGTGGACTGGTGAAGGTAACGCTGGTTTTTAATTTAAAGAGATCCTTTTTTAATTCTTTGCGAGCAGGCTTGTTGGTTAATTCTGTATTAATAAGATATTGAAATGTGGAGTGCGCTGGGAATCAGTGAGCACAAAGCGCTGTGAGGGGCTGGCGGCAGAAGAGCCCTTTTAAACGGTGGATGGCTAAACAGTAGTAAATGACAGAATTTACACCAAATGAGCTACATTAGTGTAATAGGAGAAGAGTGTAGGATTCATGGGGTTTTCTCCCATTTGAGAACATGTTGAAGGGGGAAAAAAAGAAAAAGGAAACCGCTTTGCAGTTCCCTGCATTGCGTTAAATTTGACTTGCACCCATGACAGGTCTGTCAGGATGTTATTATTGTCAGGCAGCCCGGGGGAAGAACACTCTAATGATCTTGTAACAGCGACGACGAAAACCGTGTCATCAGCTTCCTTTAGAGGAGTGGGAACATTAAAGTGCCTATAGACCCAGACAGCAAGTGTGCAAACCTTCCAGGTGTTGCACTGTGTTTATGTGTGGACAGACAGGAGGAACTGCACACAAGGATGACTTGAACAGCTGCTGGCCAGTTGTTTTCTAGTTCACTGCTTTTGATGAGATGCTTGGGCCATAAACAAGTCATGATCTATGGCATGATCGTGCGCTGATGGACTCAATCTATCAGCAAAAGTTGAAAGATTGATGTCCACCAATGCTAGGTCAGAGTCTGGCCACAGTGTGTGAAGCCAGTCACAACACTCTCCCTCACCATTGGTGCTAATGTTAGCCTATTCCCTTGTGTGCCCCCCCTCAATCCTCCATCCATACACCACTACCCTCCTCTTTTTAACTCTCTAGGCCCTACACTGGATCCTTTCCTTCCGTCTGTGCTACTGCATGGTTTACCCTAAATGATTTAATTATCTTTTTTTTCTGGTGTAAGACAAATGAAAGGCAAGAGAGATGGGAGTGCTGTGCCAAATCTGATAATTTATCTCCTTAACAGATTGCTGTGTTACAGTCCCCGAGCTGTGGTTACTGATGGTTGTTGGGAAGTAAAGTGGGCCAAGCGCTTTGTGAGGATGCTCCCCCTTACAAAGCTGATGCAGCACTGTATTGGGAATTTGTGTCAGATACAGATCAGGCACATTTCATTTAAATAAGCAAATCATTGAATAAAGATGACCTGGCTCACAGGGGTATATCTCTATCTATGCATCACAGTTCGTGGGCTGGGAAACAACACGGGCTGACAGATTGAGTGACTCAGGCCCTGGTCATATCAGGGATGTTATTCAGACAAACAGAAGTCCCAGCCTGCCTCGCCAGAGTGTTCTTCGAGACAAGTAAAAGCAGGAACACGTGCCTCGTCTTCGGTGTGTCAAGCCGGCAGTGATTGAATTTCTCCTCCTTCCTTAAGACGGAAGTGCAAAGCCGGTGAGTGATTCCTGTGGATGCACTTAAGGTTTTAGTTGCAGGCGTCGTTGTGCCTGGGCAGATTTTATATGACACATGAAACTAACTACATGGTACTTAGGGCCTGCTGTAAACCAATCTGAAGCCAGTCGGGAAAACAGGCCCATCAGCAGAGAGGCTTGTTTCTGTTGCATGACAAAAGGACTTGCAAAACCGCATCAATTAAAAGTTCATTAAGTTCAGCGCTGGGAGGATGAGTGGATGCTCTCTATTTACGCCTAGGCCGGCCCAGCCCATTATCTTCAACCTGATTATTCAAATCCCTGGATTATAACACAGACGTTTTCTCAGAGCCTTGCTTAGAATAATCATACTTAATAATATTTCATTTTTCTTCCCATGGAGTCTGATTAGAATTGAGTCTGCATCATCAAAAGAGAGGAACAATGCTCTTGATAGTTATGATTCAAGTGTTCCAAAATTAACACAAGAAGGGATTATTGGTTGTGTGGATCTAAATTAGCATCATTCAGCATTTAATAAGGAATGTTTTGTGTTCAATTTGTATCCGTCATATCTATTCTTCGTGATTGCACATTTGAAGCTCTAGCTAGGTAATCCGCGGCTTCCTTGAGCAGATGGGCTGGATGAGAATCACCTGCTCGGTTTTCTGACAGATCTAAGATACTGCGAGAATATTCAGACTGAGACTGCCTTCTTCACTTAAGCTTGTGTTAAACTGCTGTTGACATCTTCTTTAATCTCTGACAGTCAGCGCGAGGCAGAGGGGCTGCCAGCTCTTGCGTTATGTCTTCTCCGATGTTTCATGGAGCGCCTTAGCTGAGGCTGGTTTTTGCCTTTTCCTGCCATCGATGCTCACCTTGTTTGCTCGCTCGCGACAATGCATGATGGAGTGAACGAGTCAATATCCTCCCCTGCGATTTGTCTTCAGCTACACAGAAACCAGACATTCAGCCAGACACTGGATGAAGGACTGGAAGCTGGGGATACTGTCAGCTGTGGGAGGAGCTGATGGCCGTTTTTTTAAATTTTATTTTTCCCCAGTATGTGTGCTGGGAGATCTCTTTGAAACACAGTAAACAGGCTAAATCTGTACAGGTAATATGAATCAGTTTTAAACCACTGTTAAATAAGAAATAGCTGCTTTCTGTTTGTATCTTTCCATCAATGAATCGTAGTATTCCCTCTCAAAGTCACTCAGATTCCCTCTACAACCCCTCATGCCCCCTCTCTTTACCTCTAAAGGCCTGCTGGTTTACAGCGCTAAACATGTTTTCATCAGCATTGCTTTCATAATGACGCGTACGTTTTGATCACTGAAACACAAGTCAGATGTTATGCAGTGAGCTCATGGTGCCTGGAGGCTCCTGACTAGCAGTTCAAAGATCAGGCTTTGGTGCAAGAAAACAAGCAAATGTGTAAGATGCCAAATTAATTCCTTCCTTAAAGACATAAGACACACAGCTAGGAGAGCAAACACTTTTCACAGATGATTCAGCCTAGTTTTGAAAATATGATATACCCATGCTTTGTTTTTTCTAGCGTATAATAGCTTATTGTTCTTGATATGTTGTTTTCTTTTTCTATTACTGAACTGACAGGTGAGGATCATGTTGATCCTATGTGTCAACAGGTTTTCCAGTATACAAGGAAGCGTTTTTCTTTTCTGGAAAGACACTGCTACTTGAAAATGTCTTAAAGAATCTCAAGTCACACAGCTATACTTCCCAATGTAAAACTGAAACAATAGCAAGAGGGGGACAATACCCTGACCCCCTCATTAATAGTGTGGTGCACATTTCTCCAAATCCCTGTATTCCTTTCAGGTGTTCCTATGAAATCCCCAGCTGCATCCAGGCACAAAGAACAATGACCTTAATGGAAATAATACTTACTAACTATAAATAAATTAATCTCTATGCAAACCCTATGGGGACATGTCCATCAACTGTGGCCCTGTGAGAGATTGCTATTTTAAATGGGAATATATGGCACATGGGCCTTGTGTTTGCTCAACACAAAGATGACAGTGAAGACCAGATTAATTACCAGATGTAGGCTACAAATAACTTAAGGAACTTCATTTTGCGCTTGTGTGTGTCTTCACTGACCCATGTCCTCATTGCAAGAGATCGCAAAATATGCAAAGACACATGTAAATATAAGAAAACAAGAAATGCGTAAAAGACCACGCACAGAGACAGACTCACCCTTCTCTCTTGTGACTCATGTACTGCCCGTTGGTGGAGGCGTGCTGGTTGTGGAGTGGGTTCTTTGGCGGTGCCGGGGATGACAGGTCGAGGCCCCGGTGGCCGTTGTTGCTGCTGTGGTTGTGCTCCTCCTTCACGTGAGCGTTTGTCACCTCCTTCCACAGTTGCTGCAGCTCTGCTGGAATCATGCCTGAGACAAACAAATTGGATAATTAAATCAATTAACAGCTAATCCAACTCTCTTCTTCATCACTTAATTAAATCAAAGCGTCTGTAAACAAAGCCGAGTATTAATTAGAAAATATTCCACTACAGGGTAATGCACTGAGAGCACTTGCCTCCTCTCTCTCTCTTTCTCCCTGCCACCTCCTTTTCTCCCTCCTATTTTTCCTGTGATCTGAAGCGTGTTTGTATACACAAATCCCTGGCATTCACGCAAATTTCATGCCCAGAGTAAATAATTAACATCCAGACAAGGCATGAAATCTGAATAATCACCATCATTTTCTCTCAACAACAGAGATGTGAAGAGCATACACAACAAAAAGTTTACAATGGCAACACTAGAAAACATCCCACCCCTGCCTCCTTGAGAAACAGGACCCTGGGGTAATATTCTCAAAAGCGCATTAATGTGCAAAATACTTAAAGCTCTGCACCGCCTCCAATTGACACAGAAGACTTAAACCTCATTTAACAAGTCAAGCACACTGCAGCTCACACAGCCCTTTGAAAAAAAATCCCTTGAAGACAGAAGACATTTTTCTGTGTGCTGGAAACAAATCTACGGAGTGCGTGTGTGTTTTCTGCCTATGAGTGACAGCGATCCCGACACCCAGGGCCAGAGTCAGGATGAAGAAGGATAATGCTGTGTTTGTGCATCCCACTTGCCACGTCTGAGAGAAGAGAGAGGCTTTGTTTTATATATCTATATATGTATTTGTCCATCTATGGTGTGTCTGTGACTGTGCCAGAGGAGACCGCTTTCATTTGACATAAATGAGGATAAAGCTGATATGTAAAAAAAAAAAAAGATTAAGCCTCATGGGTGCAGAATCTGTGGCTATTTGTATTTTCAGTCAAAACATACTGCATCTGGACAACTCTGATTTTAATAGCATACTAAAAGATCTAATAGGGGAATATGAGTGGATTTGTATTGGGTATTCAAATTCTGTGCTTAAATAAGCCACGTGTTTTAAGTATGGTGAAAGAAGCCCTCGGATATGTGGTGAATTTAACCACAGAGCAAATGGGCAAGACCACTCGTTTAACATTACAATTAATTAAATCCATTCTCAAAATGAGCACTGGCAAATGAAAGATGATTTGCACATGCTTATCTACTTGGGTTTATATTCTCCGGATCCCCCCCCCCCTTCCTCCCTGTTTCTCATCACCAGC